AAAAAAAAAAAAAAAAAAATTGATCTCTCATTTGGGCTAAATAAGCACATTGACTTGTTTGCTTTTTGAGTACTTGGACTGTGTTTAGAAAATATTCTAAAGTACTAATTGGCCATCTAATTTATAGCACTAGTGGGCCATTTTAAGGGACATGTAAGGAATGCTTACCTTATTAATCTCTCAAGCCCACAAGTTGATATCACGTGCTCAGAACCCGAATAAAATGAGTTCGTGACTTATTCAATCCAAGACATGTTGTCCGTGAACAATTCTCGAGGGGGCATTTGTAGGCAGTTAAATTTTGAGCCAATGAAATGACGACAAGTGTAAAATTCCATGTTAAAATCAATTTAATAATTTTCTATTTTATTTGGGAAATTAATCAAATTTTAATTCCTAAATTAAAATAGTTAATTAATTGATTATTTAATATACATTGTTGGCCAATTAAAGAATGCCACATGTATATTTTGAAGGCCAATTAAAGAATGTCACATGTCATTTTCTTGGAGAGTAAAATAAATATTTATTTCTTTTAATAATAAATGGAAATTCATGGACCAATCAAATTGAAGTCTTCTTTTTCAAGACTCTCTCTCCTAATTATCTCTTTAAATAAATATTAAGAGATAAATATTGGAAATTATGGACCAATCAAATTGAAGTCTTCTTTTCCAAGACTCTCTCTCCCAACACCTATAAATAGGGACCCTCCCTAAGGTGAAAATCACAATTCATATTCAAGTCCACAAGTCATTCAAGTTCAAGAGCTCTAGAGAATTCTCTCCACAAGATTCAAGTGTTCTTGAAGATCCAAAGGCGTTCTTGAAGATTCGAAGGAAGATTCAAGCACGTTCAAGCCCAAAACCGACGTTCAATCCAGAAACAAGCTGCCAAGCCTCCGAATTGCGTTATTAAAGTTCAAGTGTTTTGAAGATTCAAAGACGTTCTTGAAGACCCGAAGGAGGATTCAAGCGCATTCAAACCCAAAACCGACGTTCAATCCGGAGACAAGCTGTCAAGCCTCCGAATTACGTTATTAAAGACAAGACCGACGTAGAGAAGATCAAAATCAACTTTGCGGCGAAGACCAAGGATTCGTGTTCTTCACGTTCTTGGGAAATCACGACGTTCAATTCGAGATCAAGCTATCAAGCCCTCGAAGAAACGTTATTCAAATCCATATTCAAGACCGGCGGGGATCAAACTGAAGATTCGTCTCCAAAAGTCTCATATCCATTTGAAGATCGCTCTTGAAGAATCTAATCAGAGGAATAATAGAGATTTGTAATCCACTATATTTCTTTTGATCCGTTGAAAATTTATTTGTCCGAAGTTCTCGTGTTTATTAATTCAATAATACGAATTTTGCGTTACAATTATATTTTGTTCGAATTTTAAATTTTCAATATTAGTTACAAAAATTTAGTTTTAACTAAAATTTAGAGTTCATTCTAAAGTTGATTTCAAATAAAATATGTAATAATATGAGGAAATATTGATGAAAGTTGACCAGAGCAAGAACCGTCTCGATCTTGCTATCCTCGCCGGTAGAACGCTAAAACCTGTACGAAACTCTCACACCGGAAGGATTTTCCGGTGAAGAGCCTCTAACGCTCAAGTCAGTCTTGAGAAATATTATGATGATAATGGAATATATGAGAGATTGTGTGTAAAATCAGAAGGCTCACCCCAATAAACAGGGGTGAGGTACGTGTTCTAGAAGCTGCCCGAATTTGGTGAGTTGGCTGCCCTAGGGCTGCCGGATAGTACAACCCACTACATAGGTGTGTCAGAAATATGTCAGAAACAGTTATTGGTATAGACTAATTAGCTCGCACCACGTGTCCCACGTACATGTGTCAAAGGTTCCCGCGGAGGCTTTTGTGCTCGACCAAATCTGGATAGACTTTTAAGTCGTTTCTGGCATAGGGGGGCGGTCGATCTCATTGTCCTTTGCTCGACCACCCACGCTTTCGAGATTTTTGTGGTCATGGCCTTGGTCTACAATTGGCCAGCGCAGACTCCGTTCGACCATATCAATTAATCTGATTAATTCCACCAACCAACTACACAGGTCTAAGGTATAATATCCCATATCAGTTGATTTATTTAAAAGAATATAAAAATTGAATAATTAATATTTATAGTTACTTCTAAAGTTGATTTCAAATAAAATCATCAATATGAAGTCATATTGATGAATGTTTTTTTTTCAAAGCATATAAAAAATAAAATATAACTAGGTAGTCATTCAAAAAAAAATAAAAATAAAAATAAAAAACCTCCGAAGATCCGAACCATACCGAACCGCTCTGATAGACCTAAATATCGAACCGAATCGTCCCCATTTTTTGGTAAGGTTTCAGAGATCGAATTTATTGATCTCCAAATTTAGGTACGATCTCGAAGATTTTCTCAATCTCCAAACCGTACTGACTCATGCTCAGCCCTAGTTAGTAAAACCAAAAATCCACACATTTTTATTGGATGTTTAGATTTAATTCCTTCTAGGACTAATTATAAAATTACCATTTATGTTACAACTTTTATCGTTCTGTGCTCACTAAAAAGCAACTCTTCTCAAAATCTCACTCAAAAGGTGCTGAGTTGGATCTAACTAAGGATTTGTGTGGTTCCAGAGGTTCTGGAATTGAGCTTCTTAAAAGTTTGGGCAGGCAAGAGACAACCTGGCGAACTGAAACATCTTAGTAGCCAGAGGAAAAGAAAGCAAAAGTATTTCTTTAGTAGCGGCGAGCGAAATGGGAGCAGCCTAAACTGTGAAAACTATGTTGTGGGAGAGCAACACAAGCATCGTGCTGCTAGGCGAAGCAGTGTGAATGCTGCACCCTAGATGGCGAAAGCCCTCATCCATAAGATCCCAAGTACCGGGGTCGATCAAAAGTTCGATTATGTCTGAACTACCCATTTTTAAATGAGATCCACAACGTTCACAATATTCATTTTTGATACCCACTTTAGACTAAACTTGTTATCATTCAAAATTACAAGTATCCACTGATACACCTGTTGTCTTCCAAAAATTTACATGTTGGAGATGTTTGTAATTAGGCTAAATTTGAAAGGTGAACGTCCCATTCCAAAATCCCATCCTCATTAATAACAGAAGTAACCCTAAGGGTCAATTTATTGGAAAATGCTACGGTCCGGTTACGGAACCATTCCGTCGGGGGGTTTGTAACCGTTTGATCATCTATCCCCGACGGTTACATGATGATCTAGCGATTACAAACCCCGACGGAATGATTCCGTAACCGGACCGTAGCATTTCTCCAATTTATGTTATTTTATAATTCCTTTGGTCTTGCTCATAAATATCCCTAGTAATTGAAGAATCCTATACTGATGATAATTTTTTTTCTGGTACATGGGCACATGTACATGCATGTGCTGATCATGAATGCTATAAACTTATTTACAGCAGCAAATGACATGTTCTGTTCTCACCTGCAACATCAGTAGCACTATCTTCTGCATCCTCTTTGCCAGAACTTGACAGTTAAATACAATTTATTTTTTCAACTTTATATTGATGCTTTATTGCATGATTTCCATATGATACAGTCCTTTACCATCCATTGGAATGAGTGACAGTGTATCAAAAACACATACAATGAAAGCTAGATATGTATGAAAGAGATGTATATTCTCCATTAAGAAACAAATAAAAGTAAAATAAAAATCTATAACATACAAGTTTGAGTAAATTTCTAGTACAATCAAATGTCACCTGTGTATATGTATCCTTATTCCTATATTTCAGAGACAAACAATATACCTCAAGTTTGTCTTCGGTTGTTCGTTCAATATTTGTCCAGATAACAACAGAAACCCACAAAGATAGTAGAGTTGTTTTACAAACAACATTGAAGATTGTTCCATTCACCATCATTTTCTTCTCTTGTGGCTAAGCACAAAGTCGTCGTCATCATCACTATCATTCCCAATTCGCTTTTTTGCCTTTACTTCACCATTTTTCGGAGCTTGTTGTGGCCTCTTTGAGCTCTCGGGTTTACTGGGAATGAACGGTGGTGGGGACTTTATTGGAGTCCCTGTTCGAAGCTGCTTTTGCTTCCTCTGCTTTTTCTCGTACGCCTTTTTGGCCCTCTCAGGTGACAGCATGCCGTGTTCCATTAACCTGGAAATTATTTCAAATAAAAATAAAATAAAAATAAAAAGATTTGAGTTTAGCTCATTTGAAACATAACATCACAAAATGGGGGAACTAAATTACAGGTTCCCGTTGTGGTTTACTGGGTAAGCTCAATAAGCAACATTAAGGACTTGATTGTATACCAAATAATTTACTCACTTTTATTTTAACTCAAAATTTAACTCAACTTTAACTCAACTTCACTATCTTTAATATTATTTCAATAATTAAATAATGCAAACCAATAATTCTTATACATCACATCAACTTTAATTTACTATTCATCAACTCACATAATTTTAACTACCTATCATTTTCAATCATTTATCTCTTACTTTTCCATCAAATCAATTCTAATCATTTTATTTTAAATATTATTTTAATACATTCTTAAAATTCACTAACAACTAACCTCCACTTTTCAAAATTAACTATAGTTAACCAAAATAACTCATTTTGAACAAATTATTTCATAAACAATCAAGCCCTAATACCTTTCCTTTTTTTGTTTTTTTTTTTTAACTCATCACACTCATTTACTCATTGGTACATTTGTCACACCGATTTTCAAGGTGTATCGGACTATTTAATAAATTAAAATAATATGTTGAAATGATTTACTTAGTTATGTGTTATATATAAATTTACGATCTAGAAGGCTAAACGAGACTAATGCAATTGATGAGATAAAATTGGCTAGAGGGGGTCATTGGTTGTCGTATTTACCAGCTTCACCTACATTAGTCTGGATCTGCTATTTCAGTGTAACTTGAGGTGGCATTAGTCGACGGACCAACGATAGAGTGACTAATATATATTGAGCTTGCAATTCAAATCTCTCCACTCGTGTTTTGCATGAAGCTTTCATAATGGGATCAATATCAGCTGTGTTAAACTCCTGCTACTGGGTCAACTATGGCAGTGACTGAGGGACTTTGAGGTTTAGCATGAACTTGAGTACCTCGGCTGTTCATTGCTTCCACCAGCTTTATCCGACTTGAA